ATATATTTGTAATTTTATTTTTATAATATACAATAACTTTCTAAGTAAGCTTGCTTCTAACTACTTCGAGTTTAATAAGTTTGATAATCTTTTATTTTTTAATAGATGTTCCATTTAAATAGGTTAAAATGTTAAGATATACAGGATGTCCGGAGTCAATCGCATCATCCATTGTGTGCAGATAGAGCGGGTTAAACTGAGTAAGAAAGTCCTTTACCATTTTGCGATTTTTGTAATAATTATTGAGAAATTAATTAAAGAAGATCGACTAATTCGCGTGAGTATAAGTGCGCGGCGAGAAAGGACGGCCCAGAGACAATCCAAAAGTTTGCGGTCGCTAGGCACGCGACGAAATTTTGGGAGGAGCGCTCTACAAATGACAACGGTTACGTACGAGCGGTACATAACGATGGATTCTCGCATCTTAGCAACCACACATCAATGGGTTGTCCCCTTTTACTGCGCGCTTATACTCACGCGAATTGGTCGATCTTTTTTAATTAATTTCGCAATAATTATTACGAAAATCGCAAAATGGTAAAGGACTTTTCTTCTTGTTTTCATCTGTTCTACCTGCACACGACAGGTGATACGATTGACTCCGGACATCCTGTATAAGTAAATTATTTCAGGAAATACAAAGGATAACAAGCGAGAGTCACGGATGGGTGGATACTCCTCCGGAAGCTCCTCTCTTTTCAGCAAATGGTAGCAGTTACGTCGCGATAAGTCCGGTAAAAGATGGACCGGCGGGATATTACAAGCATATAACCTGGGCTAATGTGCTCCGAAAACAAGTAGTGCCTTTGACTCATGGAAAATTTGAGGTTGTCAAGATTTTAGTATGGGACCAAGTGAATAATACTATGTAAGCTATACTAAAAATAAAATCTTTTAATAAATTTCTATATTAGCATCATCGCCTCCGATTTACCTCAAAATTTACATGGAGCTTTCTTTCGATCTACAATTAAAAGTTATGATATTTCAAAGTGGGGCAAACAAAATGTCGTCCTTCGGAAAAATCATCAAGCGGTATTTTATAATAAAAAACTAAAAATAGCTCTTTGCAAAAAAATTTATTCCTTCAAGTAACTTTTTTAAGCATGAGTTTCATATTAGTTATATATTTAAATATTTAGTTGTATATTTAAGTTATTAATTGTATATTTAAGTAATTGCATGGGCGGGTGAGCTTTAGGATTAAACCAAATTTTAGTTTTAAATCAGAAATAGGTTTGGATTAGGTTATATCTTTTGGAAGTGGAGCCCCCCGTAGGGGGGGGGGGAGGCGGAACCCACTGCGTCCATTCATAGGGGAAAGTAGGGTAAAACTGGGTAGGCGGTCAAACCGGCGGTCATACCTCTGTTTCTTCGTGATAAGTGCTACTATCTTTGGCTAACTCATGTTATTAGTTGTAGATTGATGCCATCATTATTTTGAGGTGAACTGTGCCCACGTGTACACAATATTTCTTTTTTGAGAGAAGTTCAAAATTTTCGGGCCAAAAAATATCGATATCGGGGCAACAATTGAGTCGTTATGGACTTTTTCTACAGAGCATCTGCTTCGGTAAATGCAGCATTGCATTCTGTACATATTAGAGAGTATATCGCATTAGTTTTGATCGTCTCTTTGTACGCCGGAATATACAGCCGCCGTGTTTGTTATTTTCTTCATGTTGCGGCAAAACCGGGTATCTATTACATCTCATGTAATGAAAAGAGGAAAAATTGTTATCCTGACTTTGCCTCCCTGCAAAAAGCAGTTGGAAACGAAAATTACCACCCAGAAAAAGAAACAACTTTTGAGAAAAAAAAGAGCTTTTTAAGATCCCTAAAGTTAAAAAATTAAATAAGAAAGTTCTGCAGCAATGTAGAACAAGAGAATATCTTTATTTGTGATTTTTGTCAATAAAATATATCTTCGTATTGTATTTTGATTAAAATAAATCTAGATTTTGTAATTGCATAGTGCTTTACATGTTTTCAAATGGGTACCCGGTTTTACTCTACCGCTAGGACAAAACCGGATATTTTGACTTTTCCAAAAAATCTTGTTATCCTTGGTAACCAAAGTATAGGTAACTCATAGTTTAAGGTCTATTAAAAACTACTAACGGCCAGCAATTTCTTTCTTACTCTCTGATTTTTTGTAAGAAGAAAAATCCAAAAAGATTCCCGGTTTCACCCTATTTTTCCCTATACTTTACAACAGGGCTCGGAGATAGTTGCCCTTTTCGGGCCGATATGTGAAGCGACGCCTACGGTCCCCCCACTACCGCTCGAGGCTCGACGGCCGAGCCGCCGATCGCGCGCGTAACGCTATGCTTCAGGAGCGTCCCGATCTAAAAAATATGCTGAGATTGTACCTGCCGTCAAATCGTCGTTTAAATTTGCTTTGCCAGATAATTTCTCTATTAGTAATATATTATATACGTTATAGTAATATCGCGATCGGCGGCTCGGCCGTCGAGCCTCGAGCGGTAGTGGGGGGACCGTAGGCGTCGCTTCACATATCGGCCCGAAAAGGGCAACTATCTCCGAGCACTGCTTTACAAGAAGAAGCGATTTCCACCCAACAATTCTTGTGTGGAAAGTACATGCATGGACGCAGTGGGTTACGCCCCCCCCCCCCCTATGAGGAACTCTACTTTCGAAAGATATAATCTAACCCAAATCTATTTCTGATTTAAAACTAAAATTTTTTTGGGTTAGGTTATATCTTCCGGAAGTGAAACCTCCCTGTAGGGGAGCGGAACCCATTCTTTAAACGGATCACATCTTTAAAATATAAGTTTGGTAATTCATGCCGAAATATATGCAGTTTGTTGCAAGCATCGATCAGTCACTATTTTCAATTGTTAAGGGGATCCTGACCATTATTTTTTTACCGACCGAACGCAATTTTTTGGTTTTGCCAGCTTTGTAATGGCTATACAGAATTACGAATGCTTTTACATGATTAAAGTACATACATCAATGTTCAATGGGACAGTCGACCTTATGCTGAAAAACGAAAAAAAGTTAAAAAGTTACAATCACGCGATTGTTAAAAAAATGATGGTCAGGATCCCTTTAATAGCGCTTGAAGCGACTACTTGACGATTTTCCCCAAAGACGATATATTGTTTGTCCGGTTTTAAAATATCATAACTTTTAATTGTGGATCGAAAGGAAGCTCCATGTAAATTATGAGGCAAATCGGAGGTGATGACGTTAATATAGAAATTTACCAATCTTTTTTAATCAAATAAATACATTTTATTAATTTTGATTTTTTTTTTACTTAGATAAATATATTCTTTGTTTCCAAAAATGTATTGTTATATTAAATAAATTATTACTTGCGTATAATATATATATATAGGATGTTCCAGGTCAGGTCAATGAAATTTCAAGGTCTTATAGGAAATTCAATCTGGAACAAAAAAGTTCCTATAAACATAGATCTGGAAACGCTTCGTTAAAAAGTTATAGCTAAGAAACTCTCTGTAAATATAATTAGTTATAATCATTTAATAAGAACATTTGTATGTTTGCATTTACAATGTTTGCACTATGAATGTAGTATTTACACAAAGATCATCGAAAGGTGATTTTTTCAAGTTTCTGCTTTTTTCGTTGTTTTGAGCTTATTTTCTTTTGAACGACTTATCAGAATTAAATGAAATTGGTGTAATTTAGTTTCTTATGTAATTACCCACATCAAATTTATTTCATTACTTTTTTCAAATGAATGAAGGGTTTTGAAGTTATTTTTAAAAATCATCAAAAAAAACATGATTTTTCGAAGTTTATTAGCTATAATTTTTTAACGAAGCGTTTCCGGACTTATGTTTATAGGAACTTTTTTGTTCCAAGTTCAATTTCTTATAAGACCCTGAAATTTCATTGACCTGACCTAAAACATCCTGTATAAACCTTATATGTATATACAGAGTATCCCTAAACCGGCGATAAATATTTTAATGACAAATTCTTTGTAACATTTTGAGACGAAAATTTTAATACGAAAATATCGAGGCTATAATTTTCAAATGGGAAAAGTTATATATA